AAGCAGATTGGAGAACAAATAAACCAAACAGCCTTGCTCTCGAAGTACTGCCTAAACCACTTTCTTGTAACAAAAGAAAAAATAAATAAATCTTAATAAAATTAGTAGAAGAGAAGAATATGAAACCAGTAATTGGAAAGATTGTAACAAAAGGTCCTGAAAGATTATTAACAGAACATTGGCATGAAGAAATTCGAATAGAAACAGCAAAAGTAAATTTATCTAAATGTAAAGGTTGTGAGTTAAATCAAAGCCAAATAAGCTCAAGTTATGAAAGATGAATTAATAAAGTTAAAGTACAAGGAGAAATTTCAAATTATATTAAAAAACATAAACAACAAACCTTAGAGTTAGACCAAGAAATGATAACCTCCTTACAAAAAACAAGAGAAAAAAGAGTATGACAAAATGAAAGTAAAGCTACTAAAGTTACATGTTATAATTTGGATATTAAAATCATTAAAAAACAGCATATCAGTCAGCTAATGAAATAAAAACTTATAAAACTCAACCAAAGAAACTAAGAAAGACCTGATGAAACATTGATCTTTTATATAGATAGTTTATTAAAAAGAGTATTAGGAAAAGAAGCTTTAATAATAGACCAAATAGGATCAGGCTGAGTGCAACTAGATAGAAAAGAAGAAAAAATACTAAGTGAGGGCTGTTTTGGTACAAGAAATTGGCTATCATCAACAAAACCAGAGCTGTTAGCTATTTGGTTTGTCATACTTGCAATCACAGGTCTAAAAAATAGAAAAGAAAACCAATCTATTAAACAATGACTAAAAAGGAATAATTACAATTTATTAGAGAATATTAAAAACATTATAGAGTTAAAAAATTTAGAAATAGATTTAGTTAAAGTTAAAGGCTATAACAATAATGAATAGAACAATAGAGCAGATATGTGAGCAAAAGAAAAGGCCAAAATAGATAGTTTAGATAAAATAGTAGAAAAAATCCTTTAAGAAACTAGCATTTCAATTTATTAGAAAGAAGAAATTATAAAAGATCCAATGAGAAAGTTTATTAAGAAAATCTTAGACCTTCAAACAGGAGCTGAATGGAGTTTTTCATTAGTGATTAAAAAGATAGAGCCAGATAATAAAAAGAAAGTATATAATTGAACATACTTATGGAAAAAGATTAAAGACCAAAGCAGAAGCAGATGTACAAGCCAAAAAAAGAATACACAAATAGGAACCTTAATTAAATGTCTTAATAATAGATTACCATTACTAAAACCTTTAACACAACATAGACCAGATCTCTACAAAAATTCTTTTTGCATACTTTGCAATGAAGAAGAGGAAGAAAATCTAGAGCATTTGGCATTATGCAAGTGCTATAAGAATAACTAGGAAAAAATAGAAGACTTATCGATTAATCTTGTATGGACTAAAATCTCAAATGAAATACAAGTTATTACAAGCAAAAAGCAACTTAAAGAAATTTTTTGGCAAGTAAACAAGCAAGAAAAAGAAGAAACAAGAATAGGAATAATTAAATGTCTAGTTCAAGAAAAGACAATTGAACAAATACAAACTTTACTAAAGCCACTTAAGGAAACAAAAGATTTTTTAGACATGGTAACCAATATAGCATAGAATGAGTTCTATGAAAACATATAGAAAAAAAAGTGTGAAGCTACTATTGAATAGGAAAAGCTGATAAACATCAACCAGTCATTAAAGTGAAGAAAATCAGAAAGAAAGATGAAATTACCTGGTAAAGAGATGCATAGTCAAATAGAGAACCCAATTAGAGTAAAAAGAAACCAAGTTGCTAGGAAGATTAAGAAGTTAAAAGAGATGAAAAACACCAAGATTAAAGAAACATGGTTTGGTTCAATTAAAAGTTATATAGAGAATAAAATAAGACCATTTTCATATAGTCTTTTAGACTAGTTTGGTACAGCCCCCAGATCTGGATTATTACCCCAACCAGTGTGACAGACTGCCTCTGAACACTTATTGAAGCAGTCTGAAGATGTCGAACTATTAAATTAGGTCAAAGTATGTACAAATATGTAAATACAAATCTTAATAAAGGTCAATGGCAAGGCTGCCAAAGAAGAAAAAAAAAAAAAATTTTTCATTATGAATAATTATAACTTGCTTCAATGGTTAGACTTAACCATTAATGGTAAATGGCTAATTCTAACCAGTGGTTTTGAAAAATAAAATTATCTAATTTCATCTGTTACATGATAAGTTACGTACTACTACTGTTAAAATTGTTTAAGGTAATACAAGATATTCTCTTATTGCTATCACTATGGCTTTCGATAAAAGTAAGATATTACAGTAAAGCATTATTAAATGTTGTGTAAAGCTATTGATTAAAGGTTTTTAATACTAATATGTCACTGTTCAAAGTTATGTTTGTCATTCAGTTCTCTCAGAAATGTAGTTTTAAGACAACCCAAGGTTAGTTGAAAGGCTAGTCAAAGTTGTTTCAATATGTTAACATTACTAATGTTGTCTAATCTAATATTATTTAAGACTCACCATTCCTTTGAAACTAATGAACTTGGTTTAGAGAGAGAAAAAACATTATCAGAAGCATTTTATAAAAATATTGCCCTGACTTCTTTGAACTCTAATTTATGCCTATTTCTGTTTCAGATTATTTAGGGGGTTTTTTTTCTAGATGCCATGTTATTTGATTTTTATATAGAAAGTAATATATTGTATATACTCAATCTATCTTATATTATTAAAGGCTCATAATGAATTTAACAAACTATCTAGTTTTTTAATAAATGATGTTTATTTGTTCAGAAGTGTTGGAGCATACAAACTTGGTTCAGAAGGAGCAAAAACATTACCAGAAGCTCTTTATAAAAACACTACTATGGCTTCTTTAAATTTTAATATAAGTCTGCTTCAGGTTAGTTAAATGGTTATATTAGTGACAAAACTGTTGTATTATTATTAAATATTTTAGACCTGTCAGGTTACCAATAAATATAGTAATTCAAGTACATTAAGAAATACTTCCAGAAACAACACTTTAGAACTGTCTTAGGTCAGTTGGAAGGACTATTAAATATATTATACTATAATTAACTAATGTGAGTTCTTCAAAATACTTGATATAAGTAGCAAAAGTCGAGATCAGCTTTTGCTATTTATATCAAGTATCTTGAAGAACTTACACTAACTAAATGTCATATTATTTAAAGAATGCAAGTTAAAGTTTATAATTTATTACAGGAATATTCTGAATTAAACTTTTCATATGCCTATAAAAATAACTCTCCTATTGATTTACAAACCACACCAACCTTTTCTGAACCTACCTTTAACCACCTTAATACTTCCTATCTGGAACTCCATATTAAACAATCTACTTTGCTTGAGTTATCTGATTCTAGTGAAAGTGATAGCAATAATGATGTTAATAATTATGATAGTTATAGATATTTATTTAATTTACATAATAATGATCATTTTGATATGTTTGAAAAAGCTGGGAAAAAACTTGAAAGGTATGCGATAGAACATGGATTTGCTATTAGGAAGGAATGTACGTGTATGCGTAATGATAGAACAGTATGAAACACTACCTGGGTATGTCATTTATCTGAACAATAGAAACCTAAAAAAATAATTGACCCTGATAATCAATGTAACCATGATACAAATGTTACAAATTGCAAATGACATTGTAATTTTTCAATAAGTAATAAAGCAACAACAATACATTGTTTTTTACTAGACAATGATTCTATTCACAACCATCCTATAGATGATAATATTAAAAGTAATGCCCCAAAATATTACAGGTTAAACAATGAAATGCTTAATAAAGTTAAGTTGTATTATTAATGTCATATTCAACCTAGTAAGATAATTAACTTACTTGAAAATGAATATTCTGATTACCCTATTAAACCACAAAATATCTATAATGTAATAAGCTAATTAAGAGGTACATATAAAAGGCTTAAAAATGATGCTGCTGATTTACTAAGTCATCTTTTACAACAAAAAAAAATGGACCCTAGTTGCATAGTTGAACTTGTAATTGGAGACATGAATAGTGAACTTAAAGGGATTTTTTGGCAATCAAACAAACAAGTACAGTTATTAACAAGGTTTGGTGATGTTTGTTTATTGAATACAACTTGCAAGACTAATCGATATTATTGACTATTAGTTCTGGTGATTGTGGTTGATAATAATACTAGAAGTAGATTGATTGCTTAGGCACTATTGCCAGATGAATCTATGGACTCTTTTAATTGGCTTTTTACATGTTTCAAAAAAGAAAATCCAGAATATGAGCCTAGTGTTATTTTTTTAGATTCTGATTCTGCAATAACTGTGGCAATTGCTAAGACATTTATAACAACTTACTACCATCTTTGTGTATTTCATATTAATAATAATGTAAAAAAAAGGCACAGTCAAAACTTGGTGAACAATATAATCAGTTTATGAATAACTTTTATGCTGCATAAAATTCTACAAGAAGCTGTATTTGAATGCCAATATGAACATTTAATTAAAACTTATTCAGCTATAGAAAGTTATTTACATAAACTTTACTAATTAAAGCAAAGTTGGGGCTGTTGTTTTACAACACAAGTTTTTAATGCTGGAATTTAGAGTACACAATATGTAGAATGCTACAATAACCTTATTAAGTCTAGTGTTAACCATACATTGTCTTTGATTAAACTAAATAATACAATTCAGAAGTGTTTTGATTTGGAAAATAAGTATAGTCATTCTTAAGAGACTATAAACTTTGATCATAATGGCAACTTACAATCAATAAGTAGAACATTATTTCCTGAAATTATTGTAATATGTGAAAAATACCTTACTTCTCATATAATTGCTGAAATAAAGCAACAAATTCAACAAGCACTTTGGTATAGGTGTTATTTATATAATATTTTACAAGAACATTATAACAATGAACCTGAACTTACTGATGAATATATTAAAGACAATTATGACTCGCAACAAATACATATTAACTCTATGCTTAACAATGTGTCAGATGATAAGATTCAAGAAGCTTGGCATGTAGTTAGACTTATAGATTCTGCAAATATACACTATATTATTATATTTAAAGATAGTTTATTTTTATATACATGTACTTGGCCAGTTAGTCATGAAATTGTATGTTGGCATTACTTTGCTGTTCTTTTAGAATCAAATGTAGCTATTTTCCATATCTCATTTATAATGCAACGATGATATAAAGATGCATATTTTAATAAACCAGAAGACACTTTCAATAATATTTTACCAATTTGGCCATATAATAATAATCCAAATAGACCTGTTACACCAATTTAATCTAATCAAAATTATTATTCAACCAATTTAATCAACTTATCTCTATACATAAGGCTCCAGAATCCAAAAAACCTAATAAAAAATTCTTACAAGATCGAATATGTTATGGTAAAAGTTATGGATTGTTGCAAACTGTTCTAACATTAGCAATGAAGACGAAAACTGATGAGGAAGTAAATGATTGGTGTCATCAATTTATTCAGCAAAAGAAAAAGCTTTTAAAAGCTGATACTGCATTAAGTCAAGATCAAGAAAATATTATTCAAGTAATTAATCCAAAAGTCATACCAGTTAAGGGCTGACCAAGTAGAAGACAGAAGATTGTACTTAAACGAGAAGCTAAAAAACTATTAAGTACTAATTACAAAAATGCCAATCAATATATTTGCTCAAATTGTCATGCTAAAGGACACAATATTCATTTATATAATTTGCCAAGGCATAGTTAAAGGTTTGGATTAAATATAGTTAAAGGTTTGAGTTAAATTAGTTGATAATATATTATTACTTAATGTAGTTGTTATATATACTGTATATAAAAAAATTTTTTTTTTTTTTCCCCTTAAGCAGTCACGCTAGTACTTTATTAAGATTTTGAAACTACATTTGCAATTATATAAATATTCTTAACAACTAAGTCTAGCATCACCTGGCCACCTTAACGGTACCTAAGTGCAATCTGCCGCATTACTTCAAGCAGAAGTAAGCTACTTGTCTAACTACTTAAAGTCCATAATAGAAGGGTCTTCTCCCTTC